CTTTTCTAGACCTTTTAGTGTCTATTAACATTGGGATTCTGGCTCACCTCAGAGGAAGGCTCTAGTGGGGGCTGTGTGGGTGCACGCCAGGCAGACCCCCCCGTGCCCTGGAGCCTTTGATGTAATTAGCTGGTGCCCCCCCAGGCCCCCTCCCCCCCCAAAATCCCTAGCTACGGGGCTGCGGTGACCAGAACTGTACACAGTATTCCAAATGAGGGCACACTATAGATCTAGTTTTTTTCTCAATCTGTTTCCTAATAATACCTAACATAGAGCTTGCCTTTTTCACTGCTGCAGCTCATTGAGCAGCTCACTACAACCCCAAGATCTTTCCCCCTCTCAGTCTCAGCAAGTTTATTAGCCTATACTTGAAGTTGGGATTTTTTTCATCCCAGTGTGTATCACATTACAATGGGAATTGTTCATCAATGGGAATGTACTAAGGCAAACACAGGACCACTTTAAAAGATTCGGTCATTGCCACATGCCCAGCAACCCACAATCAAGCATGCAAAGCAACTGTAACCTTACTCTACATTTAATGTCTAAGATGCAAGCATGTTACATACTTCCATTGACAGCACCAGGGGGTGAGATTCCACATGATTACAGGGCCCATGCTCTTCCTCATAACCAAGAACAGAAACACCCTGATCCTTACACAGAATGACTTTGCAACTCATAAGGGTTTACCACTTAACAGCTACCACATGGCCTTGAGATCATATTTAGGGCTGCCAAGTCCCCCCGGGGGGTGGATTTCCCCCTGCTTTGGAGGCCCGATTTCCGCCACGGCGGAATCGGGCCCTGGGGGGAACTCCCCCCCCCGAAGCTGCGTCACCATATGGTTCCCCCCCCGACGATCTGGGCCACGCCCCCAACGTGCTCTACATCCTGCGTCACTTCCGGTGACGTTCTGGCAGCACATGCGTGCTTTGCGCGCGCACACACCCGCAGCCAGCTCCCGGACCCAGCGAATGCTCCCCTGCCGGTGAGTAATTACGATTTGGCAACCCTAATCATATTGCAGGATATGATATACACAGATACATTAGCAAACCAGTCAAATTATGTTTAGATTTCCCAAGATATGAACAAACTCAAAAGAAGCCTAGCTGTGCTGATGTCTTTGTCATTAACCTCTGGCTTTACTAACTATTAAGAGTGAGAGGGACAAAATGGAGAGAGAACATGTTTAACAATACTTTTAATTTTGCAGCTGGCTGCTTTTGGACTGAATAGATTGTAGAGATTGCCAAGACTTCTGCTCTGATTCATTCAGCAGGGTAGTCAAAGTGGCAACAAGTTCATAGTAGAGTTCTTGCAGCCTGTAAGACAACAATGAGTGAAAATATTCAATGTAATTCCACTGTGCTATAACAGAGTGGCAAACATTCCTTTCCCTTATTTCTCTGTACCTATTTATCCTTCTCTTTTCATGGGGAAAAAATTCACTGGGATACTATTTTATGCTTTTGTGTACAACCTGCAGTTCTATACCACAGTATTCTCTCACAGAGCATATAAGGCCTGTGTAGAATGACAACATGCTTTCAAAAATTCCAGATACCTTCATATATAAATTCTAGCAATCAGATTCAATCAATATAGCTAATAGTCAGCATGGTTCCATCTTTGAATACTTAAATCATTGGACTGGGGCCATGGAGACAGAAAACAGATAGTTTTTCAAATTTGGGGGACTACCCAGGTTTGCAGAAAAATCTGAAACCTTCAAAGAAAGATGGGTTTGTTTGTTTTTTAAATTCCACCCAAACACAGTAATATTGTCTATGCTTGCACCGAGAATGCACCTCTGTTGGCTTGCCTCATCCACCCTCTTCGTAATGGAGGCAGCATATGGAAGAATGACCATGCCTACCAGTTGGAGGAAGAGTGGGAGCAGTTTGCTGTCCCCACTGCTTGAGCTAGTCAGCAAAAACTGCAGGCACGAGGAGGAAGAGCCAGTGGTCAGTTGGGTAAGCAGGGGAGGAGGAGTGGGAACTGCTGCCCTCGCGTGAGCTGCAGAGGTAGCAGCTGTGTATACAGGGAACCGTAGGAGCTAGTGAGTGGGTGGCCTGGTGAGGAGGGAGGGCAAAAGAGGAGAAGCACCAACAGGAGAAGCGAGAACAACAGCAGGCTCAGGAACCACAATCGCAGCCGCTCCACCGGAGGGAGGAAATACATCGAAAGGAGCAAACCAGGAAGTGGGCAGGGCACAGCGGAGCAGCACGACTTTATGGGATGAATTAAAAATAAGCATTAATTTAATTTCTTCTTCTTCAAAAACTCCTCACGTATCAGAATGTAGCATGTCAAGAAGAAGGTTAGCTTGAGATCCTCATTTTCCAGGTGCAAGGAAAGATTTTGATGCTGGAAAAAAACATTCCACCCACATTCTGAAATGGTACAGTTTTGAGACGCATGCCTTTTTGAACTTTTCAGTACGTCTCAATGTGACTAACACAAGAGTTAACGAGTGTTAAGCACTTGATAGGCATCCATGTGACCATGAGCTAATTCTTATCCTATTGGTTTAAGAAGATACCTACTTATAAACTGTGGCATCCTGACGATCCAGGGATGTCAAATACAGATCAATAAATGGTAAACAGGCACAAAATTCTTCTAGGATCATCGGATCTGTATGATGCAGGGATTTTTTAAAGTCTTCTACTAATTCATTGAAGGTTTTATATTCGCTTGATTTCTGGTGTGGAAAAACACAGTTTAAACACAGCTAACTTGATGCTATATTTGGCTCCTCAGAACTAATGAACATCCCACTTATTTTCACCTCTGGTAAATGACTATTGCTGCAAAGAGATGGGCTTGAATTCTTAACACAAGTCTGTTCATGTTATTCAAGAGTGCTGGGCAGCCATTGTAGTATTTGTTTGTTTACTTGTGTGAAATATTTTAAACCCTGCTTCCTCAAATTAAAATCTACATTTAACACAATTGAAGTATTTAAATCAATTGTTATTAAAATGCATTAATTCATCAACAGCAGATAAAATAAGTTAGTCACTAAAATAAGAATCTGAAGTACATTTTTTTTAAAAAATCAAGCAAATGTCTATGTGAAGAAGGTTTTAGCCTACACCTACATCTAAGATCAGAGGCTGGGCAAATGCCTGAGCATCGAAAGCTGGCAATCTGAATTCCACCACAGGCTGATGTCAGGTTTTCCCTAACTTTTTCCATAGCTTAACATAGCTGACAGAGTAAAATGCTCCCTTACGGTCCATAAAACCTGTACACAACCCCCCCCCCTCCCTGTTAGCTGTGTATTTATCAGCTAGATGATACAAAATCAGACAATGGTCTAAAGTTGAACAGCCCCTCCTGAACCCGATTTGCTCATTCCCTAAAATGGCCTCAGACTCACTTAACCCAGTCCCAAAGCTTATGAAATAAAAAGGAAGAATATAATTTACACAATGAGGAAAGCAAACTAATTGGGAAATAACAACACGGGTCTGATCTGTTTCTTTTTTTGAAAATCAGAACAATAATAGTATGTCTCCAAGATCTGGAAATCAGGTGAGGAATTGATAAAGGTAAAGACCAGTGTTAAAACCTTGGTCCACCAGCAAGGATTTGCTTAAATAATTCATTAGGGATTAAGTCTGGCCCGGGAGCTTTGCCTGATTGAAGAGCCCAGATGAAAAGCTCAACTTTGTCATTAGAAATGTCAGGCCAAGAGGGAACTATATAAAGAGAAACAGTAGAGAAAGATGTGGTGATAGCTTCATCATCTGAAAATAGCACTTTAAAATGATTTTCCCAGACATGTGGGGCAATGCCGAAGGGAATTTTAAATTGTGGATTGATGGAAGTGTTAACAATAGACCAAAAGGTTATGTTGTCATTATTATTAACTGCAGATATAAGTCAACTCCATTCTCTAGCCAGAGCCTTCTGTTTCCTTACTTTAATTAAATCTTTGTAACTCTTTATAAGGTTTAAGCAGCTCCCTCAGAACTGTGATAGTTAGGGCTGTGCACTCAGTATACACCGAGCTAAATAAATATCCAAAAAATACGGTATAATGGAGCCATATAGATTCAGGTTCCCCGAATATTGCCCCAAATACCAATGAAATATCAATAGTGATATTCAGGTATATTCAGGACTATGGATATTTTTCAGGTCCAACAGACCCAAAATTGAAATAATCCAAATAATCCCCTAGTGATAGTATTATTTCTTTTACATTTTCCATGTATCCGCTAGATCTGCCTTTTAAGTAATCTGCAATCTCTATTAAACCATGTGTTTCGATTTGCCTCTATGCTCTGATCTGGTCGAATACCCTTGACATATAGAAACTTGAATGATTCAAAAATCCTAGACAGGTTGGGCGAATTTATATTGGCTGAGTTGGATGAGGAAAAATAGCTGGCCAAACTTTCAGGGGGGGAAGAGTTCATAATATCACAAAATGAGGTGGACAACAAAGGCCTTTCAAATTTTGAGAGAGATTTGTAAACTCTGTGGTATAGCTAAATGCTGAGGGCACATGGGGTCCCAAACAGAAATAAATGGGCAGATAATTGCCACCCATATAATCACCAATTTTCAACTGATTGAAATAGCAAAGATGTTTGATCAGAACAATACCAATTGATTATGTTTTCTCCTTTTCTCCAAACGTAAGTGAAATCAGTGCTACTATCAATTCCTCAAAGACCGTTTAGTGGAGTAAGATTCCTTCACAAGGCAAATTTCATCTATTCTAACCCTGCAATATTGATCACATGATCTCTTGGCCTCCTGTTATACAAAGCCTGACTAAGAAAGTCTCCAAAGTCAGGTCCTAAAATTCTAACAAAAGGAGAACTTTCATCGATAACTATCCTTGCATTAAAGTTGCCTGCCACAATCATAGAATGGATGGAAATGTGATTTTTATTTCATCGTAGATGGCACCTAAGAGTTTCCAGTTTCTTCTGTCTCTCAGTTCTCCAGCCACCAAGAGCAGAGTAATTAGAGAGTTCACAGTGGGGAAGGAGGGAGGGAATACATGCCTGCACAGAAGACAACTCAATGAACAACAGTCACAGGTAAGTGCAACACTGTTTTCATCTTCGGTCTTCTGTGCAGTACCACATTGGAAGACTGAAAAACTCACTTAACAGATGTCGTTGTGATGCTCTCCTATTGGAAGAGAGAGTGCAGGACAGCCTTGCCCACTGAAGTCTCTTTTCTGGCATCAATATCACTCATGTAGTGCTTCATGAAGTCCCCAAAGACAACCACGTTGCAACCTTAAAGATCTCCATCAACGACATGCCACGCACTAATGCAGCTGATGCTGATGCAGCCTGTGTTTTAGTTGAATGAACTCAAACTGACAGCAGGCATGGCACTGCAGCCTTGTTGTAGCACCACTGGATTCCCCTTATGATCCACTTGGAGATGGTCTGAGAGGAAGCAGCTCTACCTTTCGAAGGACCAGAGTAACACAAGAACAGCCTCACCAATTTTCTGAAGGATTTCGTTCTATGCAGATACTATAATAAAGCCCTACAAACATCTAATGTACAGAGTGCCTTTTCTGCCTCTGAGGTGGGAGAAGGGAAGAAAATGGGCAAAACCATATCTTGAGACAAATGAAACAGGGACACAACTTTTGGTAGGAAGCTAAAACTAGGCCGCAGCACCCCTTTTTGAAGTGGAACTTAATGAATGGAGGGCCTGCCAACTCCTACACTCTCCTAGCTGACATTATGGTGACCAGAAAAAGGAATTAACTGACAATGCCTCCAAGGAGGAGGTAGCTAGGGGCTCAAAGGAACCCAAGATCAACTGAGTTAGGACTAGGGATAATGACCACTGAGGAACTATGGGTGGTGGTGGGGAATACATATTCACTATGCCCTTGAGGAAAAAGCAGGAAGATCTGTAGGAGAATAAGGTCTTGCCCTCCATTACAGTGTGTGAGGCAGATATAGCTGCCAGATGAACCTTAATGGAATAAACAAAAAGGCCAGGTGCTAAGGGACCACAGATAATTAAAAAATTAGGGGCAGAGGGCATGAATTAAACAAAGCCCAAAGGGAAAAATATTTCTATTTACTAGCATAGGATGTTCTAGTAGAAGGCTTCCTAGCATTAAGGAGGACTTCCACCAGTTGGTCTGAGAAACCTACTCCAAAGGATTCAGTAGCCACGCCGTTAGGCACTGCCTCTGCATCTCAGAGTGGAGAGTGGAGCCTCAACACAGCAGGTCTGGGGATCAGGGAAGTATACAAACCTCCCTTGGGAGGCTAATCATAGTATTTGGAACCATACCTGTCTTGGCCAGAAGGGGGTCACTAATATACACCAAGTTCCTTCGGCCAGAATCTTGGCCAGTACCCTGGGAATCAGAGGGAATGGAGGGAAGGCATAGAACAGGGAACCCTGTCATCTGATCTGGAATGCATCCCCCATGGACCAAGGGTCGCATCCTGTTCTGGAGCAAAAGCTCTAGGCCTTGGCATTGCTCCTTGTGGCAAAAGGTCTATATCTGTAATTCCCCATTGGGCAAATATTGGTAGGAGACTGTCTAAGGCAAGGGACCATTTGTGGTTTACGCTGTATATTCTGCTGAGGGCACCTTCCCTAGTGTTTTTGGACTCTGCAATGTGGATGGCCTGCAGTGAAGCCCCCAAGGCAATAGCCAGTTCCCAAATGCTGATTGCCTCTTGGAAAAGTGAAAGAGACGCTGTGCCCCCTTGTTGATTTATATAAGTCATAGCATTAATCTTGTCTCTCTGGTTGCTTGACAAACGCTGAAAAAGAGTTAGGAGTGTAACATATAGCTTGCAGTTCTAACAAGTTAATGTGAAGAAATCTCTCTGAGGGGAGCCACCTGCCCTGTGTCAAGCAGGGGGCCCAAACCCTCAGGGAGGCATCAGTGGTGATAATCACCTGAGGCTGTTGCTGACTGTAGGGGAACCCTGTGGATAGACTACCTTGGTAACTGTCTCACCACTGGATGTGGTAAAGAAAACTTCTCTGCTTGAGAAAGTCTGGTGGGGTTAAACCACCTGACAAATGAGTTCTGCAGGGGCTTCACCTTGAGACGAGCATAGGGGACAGTAGCCACTTGAGACGTACATAGGGGACAGTAGCCACAAATAAGGCCTAATTGTTTCTGAAAAAATAGGGATGATTGGAAACAATTTCTAGATAACCTGCTATCGTGGCCCTAATGTGGGCTGCCCTACCCCAGGTAAATAGAACCTCCCTACCAAGGAGTCTAGGAGGGATCCATTGAAAAGTACCTGCTAAGAGGGTGTCAGTTTGGATTTCTCCATATTAACCTTCAAGCCCAAGCTTTCCAATCTCTCAAGTATCAAAGAGATATTCTGCAACAGGCGATTTTCAGTAGGGGCCGTAATTAGCTAGTCATGAAGACAGAGGTAGATAACACAGCCTAGGGATCTAAGGTGTGCCACCACCATGGCCATGCACTTCGCAAACACATTTGGGGCCATGGCAAGAACAAAGGTGAGTACCGAATATTGGTATACCTGACCTGTAAATTTGAAATGCATAAATTTGCGATACTTCAGATGAATAAACACATGGAATTTTGTACCTTTCAAATGTATAGCAGCAAACCATGAGTTTAATTCCAAAAAGATTAACACAGCAGAGAAAATTAACATCTTAAACTTCTTAACAACTAGAAAAGATTTGTTGTTGTTGTTCAGT